GTTACATAAAATTCGTTGTTTATTTACTGTTTATGTAGATCATCGGGGTGGTCCTAAACTTTTGGGTAGGTAGTGTATCTTTATTTTAAATCATTAAAAGTGAATTATTTTATTTAAAATTATTAATAAATATAAATACTTATTATAATTAAAATAAATAATTATATTTTTTTATTAAACTAAATTTATAAAAAATATATTTATTTTTTAATGTTAGATTTATTAAATTTATTATATTAAATTTATACATTTAGCTGAAAAAAATTTATTATATATAAAATACACCTGAAAAAAAGTCTAAAAAAAAAGAAAAAAAATTTTTTTTTTATCATAGCTTTTTTTTTTATAACAAAATAAAAAAAAAGAAAATAGAAAATAAGTCTAAAATGTAGGCCATCCTCCCAAATCAAATGCTTGTTCAATCTTTCTTGCAACATGAATTGGTACGCCATGTGTTAACCATAACTTACGAATTTCATCATATCGTTTTTGACTAAGAAATTGAGGTTTTCCTCTCCTGAATAGAAAAAACAAATTTAACAAATGAAGATAATAATTAAAAAAATAAACAAAAATAACTTACTTTAATCCAAGATCAACTTCTCCATGTCTATCAAGATACGGAGCATTCATATAACAACCATTATCAACATGAAGCAAAAGAATTACACATCTCTTTACTAATAAATAAATCCCTATCTCTCCACCACAACTATAATATGAAGTAAAAAAGATAAAATGAACTTCGTTAAAACTTAAAAATACAATGAAATGGAGCAAACAAAAGTAAAATTGATTACCTTTTAGTATGAAGATTACATTCACCTCGATCATTTTCTAAACCTCGATCATTTTCTGAACAACAATAACTTTGACTACATACAAACGTACCACATAATAGACATAAAGCTGGATCATGTGGTACTGTTTTACATTTTTCGCAAACTTTTTTCAGACTCTCCTCAAACAAAGAATCCAACCTCTTTGGTAGACCTACAAGTTCAAATATTGCTGGATGATTAACTTTAACATCAATTCTTTGATATGATTGATGGTTTTGTTGTGGTACTTGTGAACTACTTGAAGCTACTCCACTTGAGACGTGAACATCGTGAATCATACTTGTATCGTTTAGGGTTCCTGATGACGTCATCGGAAGCGGTGGTGCTTGTCGAAGTGAAAATAAATGATTACACCATCCTGAGATTACTGATGACATCGTTATGTCTGATGATATGGAACAGATTTGTTCTATGGAAGGAAATCCGAGAAATTTGGATAAACTTACGAATTCATTTTCGTTTTGTGCCTGTAAATCATCAGTTCCTACTGGGAATACTACTCCAAACCTTGCATGTAAGAGGATAACACACTTTCTCAAGTAAGGCAAACAAAATTTCCTAATAAGTTTAACGAAAGCCGACTCATCGATTTTGTCCAAGAATTTTACAATATCTTGTTCATTATTGCCTACTCGTCGTGTCACCCATATAATAAAGTCTCTTATCGAGAATCCTTGAGGATCTCGTAGATCAGGGAATTTCTTCTTAAATCGTTCATTTTCCTCCCATGCATTCGTTTTTACATTAACAGCGGATTCAACTAATGACACTATTACTTTAACGATCTCAGCCGTGTATAATAACCGCATCATATGATATACATCGTATTCAACTACGGAAACTGTGTACATGCAAATTTCTACTAGAACCAAGAAGGGATCTTCGAGCAATAAAGGTTTAACTTTTGTAAACTGCAAGCTAGGTCCGAATAACCCAATAATTTTCCTTGTATTATTAACTAATGGTGTAGATCCAACAACCTGCGCGCTATTTTCTTGTTGAAATGATGGATGACCATAAAATATTTGCTGAATCCTATAAGTAGTGACCTGCTTCAACCCAAACTCACTATTTTGACCAATTAACATTGTATCCATATAAGTAAGTATCGTTTCCGAAAGTATTCTTAAGAGCGTTAATGTTTGTGCATTGATTCCATCTACTAAGGTTGATCCAATAGAACCTTCACTTATAGTATGACTAATACCACGTTGACCAATCTCAATACATGAAATTGTATAACCAAATAGGTCCCACATGTGTTCAATAGATTTCAATGAATTGGTTTGGAAAGTTATCTCTGTTGTTATTTTTTGATACGTCATTTGCATAACATCTGCCAAGCGATTGTACATGCGACGAATGTTTTCATGATCATCATCGTCAGAAGATGCGTGTGTGTCAACCCGAGATGATCCGTGAAGAGGCTGAAAATCATCAGAAGCAGCTATAGAAGGACCATTTTCGTCACTATTCTGAATCGCGGCTGGATTTCTTAACATGTGCACAATATGAGTAATTGCTTCCCTAATCCTACCTGCTCCACTACTATTTCGTCGCCTTGGTTGAGTTTGGGATGTTTGAACATAGGATGAAAAATCGACATTTGTAGCAGAATCAAAAGGTGCTCCAGCGGTAAAAGGTGTATATCTACGATTAGGGTCAGTATTTGAATATGGTAAGTCTGATCCAGAAGGGAGTATTAGGTTCAATTTATCTAACCCAGAACCAACTTTATCACGTAACCAAGTGACATAATCTTCTTGCGTCTCCAATATTCCAGGAAATACTTCTTTCTTAACCTTCCAAACGATTGGCAATAAAATATTCCCTAAACTTTTACATAATGGACACATGAATTCTTTTCTTTTAACGTCTTCAGGATGATTCCTTGCTAATTGTAATGAATGTCGTTGTTCCAAAGAAGCAAAATATGTGTCGAAACATTTCACATGCATTAGATGCCCACAAGTAGAAGCATATAATCCTTGTCGACATGACTTTGAGGGAAATCCTTTACTTAGGGGACGTGCTTTGGTATAAACTGAGGACGCAACACCGAATGGAATTGATCTGTCATATTTAAAATCCAAACTTTCAGGCAAATCATCAACTTCAACGATGTAATCCTCGTCATTAAATGGAGTATGACGTAATAATGATGATGGCTGAATTAGTCCGAGCATTCCATATAATGAAGAAGAATTAGTTTCTTCCTGGCATACGATACAAGTTCCTGTAGGGTATGACCAATTGGTTTCCATCGTTTTTAAAGAGTTGGTTCCTGATTGTTCTTCATCAGCAGGAAGTTCCCAATCCTCTTCCATTCCTTCATATTCGTCATATAATTCTTCATGCTTCTCTATAAAACTTTGTTGGGCTTTAGCAAATTGTTCCATGATTTTCTTTTGCCTCTCTTTAGCCGCTTGTTTCTTTCGTTCATACTCGGAAACTTTACTTTCCTCAGTTCCTTTTGATTGTAAATCAATACGTAGCTTCTCACGATATCTATTTATTGTCAACTTTGCACTGTCACTCTCGAATTGTTCGAATTTATTTATAATAAATTCTAGCTTATTATGAAACTCTTTGAAACTTTGATCACATGAAAGCTGCAATAGAAGATCTAATAGGCTAGTACCCTGAGACTTCATTGCACTCGTATCAATTTCTTGAAAATGATCAGATACCGCATAATAAACAAAACCTGGTATCTCTTCATCTATATCTGATGAAATGGAAGTATCAGTAGCTTTTTGTTTTCCTTTACGTTTGCATTCTCTCAAGATGTCATTATTTTCATCCAACAGAGCCAACATGATCAGGTGCAGTGCTTCTTCCACAAGTGTGTCAGACTTTATCTTTTCATCAGTTTTTACATGCCAAAGTGAATAATAAATAATTTGATTTAATAAGCTTGCATGTAAAATGTTGCCTAATTTAACATATGGCCCACTTGTTATAGGAGTCAATTTTGGCATTAACAGTGGAGTAGAGTTCGCATCCTTTTTCTTTAATCTGTTCTTCAAAGCCTCCTCTGCCTCTTCCCTGTTATTACGAGAATAATGGACAAAATATGGGTCCACTTCATCAAAATATTCGTCATAAAGTTCATAGGTACCATGATCGGTCAAACTATCTGGTGACTTGTAAGTAGTGAGTCTCGTTAAGATCTCATCAAATATTGGATCTTGTGCTAATCGTTCTGGAATACGTTTTATAAGTTCCGAATAAGCAATTGGACCAAGGCAAAGCCCATGAATAATTTCCCTTCTTATTTTCTGTTCATTGGTTAATCCGGCTGCATTTGCACGTTCGCTGACGCATGTGATTAAAAGCGTCAACAATTCTTCGGCAATAAAGGTAAGTTGTGAATTATCATATACTTTATGGTTATTTCTACCATTGAACCACTCCACAAGATCGAACCGATCTAAAATAGTGACAAGGACTATATTTGGATCTAACAAAATAAAAGCTGTCTGTAATAGAAAGATATCTTCATCATAGGTATTTTCACGTAGTGAAATTTCACGATAATGGTGGCACTTTAATAATAATGATGATGATGATTAGATTTTTTAATGAAACTAATTGGAATTTTAGCATTCCCAAACATTATACGTACTTGACCGCGAATACCAAATCCATTCCGTACCCATAAACCAGCACGGATTTGTACCAACAAAACCAACACTACAAGGACCGAATAATTAAAATAATAATTAATAAAATGGTTGGTTCATTCGAAAACCTCTTTAAAAAATAAGTTCACCTCGCAATGGATAGTCAAATACTCCTAAAATTTTCTCTTTAACGCGTTGAACTATGGCACCCAATTCCTCATTGTTTTCAAAATCGAAACCCATCATCATGCTTTGGAAACTGCCAAAACCATGCTGTTTTAACAATTCATCATCCAATAAATTAACATTTTCCAATAATTCGGCTAAAAACCAATTCAAAGGGTGATGAAAACTAACAGGCTGCGAAGAAACTTCAAATTTAACGACTCGAAATGAAAGGAAATAAGGATTCGCAGGAAAGATAACATCATGAAATTCTGGTTCTCGTAATGATGAAAGATTGTTATCCTTGCCCTCATTCCTTTCATCAGAAAATTTCGCACTCTTTGCAAAGGGACCATATGAACCCGGTGTAGATGTTACCCAAACACTTGAATGATAAAGAGATTCTTCATGATCGTCGCCGGTCTCATCCATTTTATCTCCCTCATCATCATCATCGTCACATCTTGAACACCATTCGTATAATTTTCTTAAAGTTTTACGAATAGTTATACATAACGTTCTGGTGTTGCCCGTGTAACAATCAGAAAATTGACGGCAACTCTTAGCGATTTGCAAAGTTACATTAAACGCATTAACCCAACTATCGTTCTCATACTCCACATGTTGTTGAGTTGCACGAATGTTTGGATTCATTCCTTGGAATAATGCAATTAAATTCAGGTATTGTTGCAAATAATGAGGATTTTTTGGTATTGCAATTTTCACAGCGTCATTACTGATGATATATCGAAGATCTTGAAAGACATGGAAGTAACGACGATTTTTAAAAGCATCAGAATCACAATCAATTTTAGCATTTGGATCAATGCTATCTAAATCCTCTCCAACAGTATTGGAGGTAAAAAATGTATGAAGTATTGTAAAGATCGTTGTAAGGAATTTATATTTGGTGACGAGAATTGTGGAAATGGTAGGGACAGTAAAAAGTTGAACAGAAAATAGAACAATTGAATGTTCGGGTTCACGGTCAGGGGTAAGAAATGCCTTTGCAAGTTTAACATAATTACGAGCAAATCGAATACCTAAAAAAAAAAATTTAATATTAATTATAAAGGAAAAAAAATAAATATGGTATCCAAATAATTTTTTTTTTTTTTAAAGTTACCCATTATTTTTTTATATCCTGTATTAGTTATTAGTGTTCCAATGTATAATTCTCTTAATCCAGCTCTTGCCTCTTTCCATAGCCTTAAATCTAAAATCAGCAACTTATCCAATCGCAATTTCTTTTTAAAATCCTCTACTTTCTGCATTAAAGAAGAAGTACCACGATATATTATCGATTCATCCTCATCCATTGGTTCAATTGCATCGCTAGAATGTTCTTCCATTAACACATCGTAATCACCATTGAATTCTACAGATTGCCTGTACACATTGGATGTATCGTCTTCAACATTAGCATCGTTACCATCATCAATCATCACCATTTCTTCATCATCACTCATAAATTCACTTGTGCCCTCGACTTTACCATTTTGTGTATCTCCTGCGAACCGAATTTTCGATTTCATATCGATATCGGCACCACGAGGCTTATTCCATTCTTTACAAAGTTCTTCACAAATTATATCTCTAAGCAATGAAGAGTCTGAACCAATTTTTCCTCCTGCAAGATCTTTTAACCAATCAATGAACAGACCGCACATCCCTTCACGGAAGGTGTCACGTGCGGAACGTATCGTGACAGCGAGGCCTATTGACGATATTGTACGTGCTATGGAGCGAAGACGTGGAATATCTTCGGATATTTGAACGATATCACGTCCCTGTTTCCACGTTATAATAAAGAATGAATTAATTATATAATAAAAATATATATATAAATATATATATTAATTTTTTTTTTTTTTTTTTATGGTTTGATTAATAAAGTATTATCGTATTACATACGTATGAATCAACTCTTTTGGCCATGGCTTTTGCTTCCGCTTGACTACATTCAGTTGCTTCCATGACTTGATCAATCACTTCATGAAAAGAATGGTGCTCATCATTCCAAAGTACTACTGCAAATAATTTCTCTTCATCAACAATATTTACATGATCTCTAATATAAAGGGCAGCTCGATTAGCTTCCTTCCTGACATCTGCATCATTAAGAGGAGGGGTCATCTCCTCAGGGGAAGCAGATAAGGTGTCCAACATGAAATCAAGGACAGTAGAGATAGTGTTATGAATAGGGTTTAATAGGTCATGAGGTAATATTTCTTCGTACTGTATTTTTTCAAATTCACTAGAATCTGGTGAAGAATAATCTAATGAATGATAAGAACAATGTACGGGAAGTTTCCAAGCCTCAGGGTCACCACAGTCACAACAGCCACCAGATCCAGAATTCACAGAAAAAGTTACGTCGTGTCCATCATGATTCGTTGCATGAAAACAACGAGAACAAAAGACACATGTATCGTCCAGCGCACAGTTTCTACGTAAAGATAATGATGAATATGAAGAACAATTATATTGGGAGGATTTAATTTTTATCAGATCAATTAAAAAATCTCATTTTTTATATTTTTAATCGGTCTGAACAAAAAGGATTCCAATCCTAATCCCAATATTATTTATATAGGTTCAACCAAAACGATCCGATCCAATCCAGAATCATCACCCCGAATATATTCTTACCTGCATCGATAGACACCTTCTCCTTTTTTAAAGACATGGCCACAAGCTTTTCCTTTTTGTGTCGGTAAATATTCCGAACTTCCTTCTCCTAGTGCAAGGCTCAATTTGTATGCGTCAAGTCCTTCACCGAAACCGTTTGGAAAAAATAAAGATCTGTATTCCTCATTTGATCTCCATAGTTCCGAGAAAAGTCTTTTCAGTATTTCCTGTTTTGCACTTTCTGTTAATCTATATCCAAAAGTGGCCGGGCATGAATTTAAATATGTTAAGAGAGGTAAGCTATCTGCATTATTATTATTATAAGGAAAAGTATTTGACGTCGTAGCTTCTGGTTCCATTTGAAATAAGTTTAATAATAAATTAATAGTTTATGAAAATTTTCAGGGTATTTATTTAAAGATATTGTTTAAATTAATTATTACACACTTTTATTGGTTACGTATTAATGACGATTTCGTGTAACGTTATTCGCAAAATCTTAAAAACATCCCACTTTTTGTGCAATTCAATATCGTAATCTGAAATTTTTTTAAAAATGTCGCATCATCCTTCATATACAATGGCGGTTATATGTATGTAAATAATAAAATGTTTTTCTTAATTTAGTAAGAAAGAGTAATTTATTTTATTACATATATACATATGGTAGGTACACTTGGAGGCATTAGCGCTTACGCTAAAGCACGTTCAATGCCTTCGATAATGGCAGGAGTTGGCGTTGGAATCTTATACGGAATTGCAGGGTATGAATTTGATAGGTTGTCAAGATTTAGCATATTTAATTGTCATTAAACCTCATTTTATATATGTTTTTTACAAGATATGTTATTAAGGAGAATAAAGATTATGGGCACGAAACGGCTTTAGGTAATTCATTTATTTATTCGGAGAAAACAACTTTGTTTAATTGAAACTCTTCAATTCTAATTTCTTTTTTTTTTTTTTAAAAAAAAAAAATATTTTCTTTTTTGAAGCTGCATCCACTATATTAGCAGGTAGCATGATTCCTCGTGCTATAAAGACTAAAAGACCTGTGCCCTTATCATTAGGTGTATTATCAGTTGGGGTTGGAGTTTACTATGCAAAAAAGATTTATGAATATAGAGTTGGTGTATAATGAAATTTTAATAATAAAAATTTTTTGGTTTTGTAAATTGTCTAAAATGTCCAAAAATAAAATATCTATTAACGATAGAAATTTATCGTAAATCTTCAACTTCTAAATATTTTTTGGCTACAAGTAAGATATGCGTTTGCCATGAAGACAATGTTGTAAGTTGATCATATTCTTTGCAAGCTGTAGCAAATCCAGACGGATCGCAGGAATTTTTGGATACGATTAATTTCTATAAATAAAAAATATATATTAAAGTTATGCACAATGAGTATTGAAATAGATTAGTTAACGAGATAAATCAAAGGATTAAATTTTACATTTATAAAAGCACATTCTCTACTATCCGCAAAGCTCGGATACTCCTCGATACATTGTTGAAATCTTTTCTCAAGTCTCACCCAGTCACCCAAAGCGATAATACATAGACACTGCAAAAACACATGACTTTTAACTTTAAAACTAAGAATGGAATCATTTGCCGAAAGTATAATTATATTATCAAAAAGAGAAATTGCTTGTTCATAATATCCAATCTCAGCAGATAATTCAGCTTGTGATGTTAAAGAAAACAAGAAACGACTAAATTTTTTGAAAAAAGTGAAATTCAATTTCAATCGTTCATAAATTATGATTATGCATACATAAATATATGTAACCTTACCCATCTCCATCTAATTCAAATAGTTCGGCAGATTTGCGATGCATCTATATGCAATATAAATACATATGTATGTATGTATAAGACACCCGTCAGAATCATACATTTGTAACAAAAAAAAAGTCATATACCTTGAGTGCTTTCTCCAAATTGTGCTGTGTACTATTTGTTTTTTTATACTGTTCTGCCAATATTTCGTATACACGCGCTGCACGGGTACTTTGTCTGTCGCTGTTTTCATAAATAGAAGCCGCTTTTTCTAACGCCTCAAGTGCTCTATCTAAATAAATAAATAAATTATTTAATAAATCCATCAACTTATAATTGATAGTAATAATAAAACTAAATACCAGTTTGTTTTGTCTGTTGATAAGCTTTATAAGCATCTTCATAACAATTTGCAGCTTCAAGAAGATTAGAATCATCACCAACCTTCTTGAATTGTTTAGCCGCCGATAAAAATGATTTTGCTGCCTTATGATCTGTTTTTTTTATTAAGAAAATTCGTGATTTCATAATGAATTACAACAGTTATTATAAGTAGAACCACTTCAAATAATACATACAATCCTTCTTTCCTTTAGCTTTTATAGCAGCTTCTTTATCACTGTACGCTAACCCTTCAATGACTTGCATTTCTGTCGCCGAACCCTTTTTTTTGCGCCCGAATAGTCGATCACCTCTTCCACTCGAACCAATCACTTCAATTTTGCTCCATAGATACCATTTATCTAAAAAACCTACATATGTTGCAGTTCCGTCCTTGAAGGATACGACATTAAAACAATAATAGTCGTCTATTTTGAATTCTGGAACACTTGGTTGCCCGACTAAAAGTTTGTTAAAAAATTTAAATAAATCCTGCGAGGTTGAGGGAGAGGAGGTGGAGGGGGAATTTGTTTCTTTACTGGTTAGAATAAATTCTCTAAAAGAATTTGCGTTAGGTTTATGTTTGTAAGAGTAATATCCAATAAAGAACAAAAAGATAAAAAGAATCATAGTTGAAAACTCGCAAAGAAAAAAAAAAAAAAAAAAAAATGTAATGATCCCTTAAATTATTCTGTTTATAGATATGAGATTATGAGAATTTCATGTGATAACACATCTCTTTTTTATGCGCGTAAAATTTTTTTTTTTTTTTTCATTTTTAAACCGTTCGAAATTCAATAATTCATAATCTTTATTAGGTACTCTTTATCAGGATTACAAGAAAAAGTGATAATGTTAAACTTGGCTCACATTTTCAATTATATTCAAAAAATCCCATCGCAGGGTCTCATTTATTAATAATACTAGAATTACAAGATTGAACAGAAACAAGAGAAAGAAAGCATCGGACGACTCCGTGGCTTCATAGCAGGAGTTGCGTCCGGTGTGACAAAACTGACCGTTGGCCATCCATTTGGTTGATATTCATTAAAATTATTGTTCAACATTAATTTTGTATTACGTTAACTAAAATATTTTCAAATCGTTCATTTAGATACGATAAAGGTACGACTACAGAATTCAGGATTAGATGGAAGATTCAGTGGACCGCTGCACTGTTTAAAGACCACAATACAAAAAGTAAGTTAAGATCATATATCAATCATATCATCACTTTAAGGATTAATTCATCCAAATCGATTAGGAGGGCTTTCGTGCACTTTATAAAGGTTTGTTTGGCATTTATAATGATTTTAATATATAATAACAAATGAAACCTTTTCACTAAAATCATATATTATTAGGAGCTTCACCACCACTAGTAGGATGGGTATTTATGGACTCGTTGATGTAAGTCTGAATTTTGCCACGTTTTTTTCTTGATTAAATTAATTAATATTCTAAACTTAGGTTAGGATCCTTGCATAATTATCGTCTGCTATTACAACGAAATGACCCGACGATAAAATTAAATTTATTTCAGCACGCGTTGGCCGGAGCTGGTGCGGGTTGGACCGTATCAATTATCGCCACACCTATAGAACAAATAAAAACAAGATTACAAGTGCAATACGATCAATCTACAAAAGTTTACTCTGGTCCAATTGACTGTGCAAGGAAACTAATACGAAATAACGGTATTCCTGGATTATGGATTGGGTTTATAGGAACTTTAGCATTCAGATCATGGTTTTGCGTTCTTTGGGGATCTTATGAAGTATATTCAAGATGGCTTCGAAGATACAACATGAATGAAATGATGGTCAATTTTTTGGCGGGTGGATTAAGCGCTAATACTTTTTGGTGCGTCTCTTTTCCTGTTGATTCGGTTAAAAATAGATTCATGACACAACCAGATGTAAAACCTTTACATTTCCCAAATCTGCGTAGTATAGCTAGGCACATGTATCAAACGGAGGGAATAAATGGGTTTTATCGAGGTTTTCTACCATGTATACTTCGATCATTTCCTACCAATGCATCTGCTATTTTGGTATTTGAAACAACAATGAGATTCTTAAAAGATTTTTAATATACGAATGATTTGACTGTCCTTTATTTACAAAATAATAAATAACAAGTGAAATGATAAATAACATTATAAATTAAAAAGCGGTTCCGATCACTGGAGGTAAATTTTTATAAAAAGCCAACAAGAAATCTTTGGGATTAACTCTAATCATTTCCTCATCATTGATATGTCTTACATTATGTTTACTACTGTATAAATGTTCACAAACCCCTTTATAATTGAACTGCCTGCCAAAACTATTTTGCACGTTTGTGCAATATCTGCACTGAAATAAGGAATAATGTTCTAATCCCCATAACATTGATTCCTTGACTGTTAAGAATAATCCAACTTCATTTTGTACTTTAATTGCTTCACTGGTTAATCTAGGCAAAATTTTATTAAGCAAGAAATGTTCAGTCCAAGGGTTTTTTGGATCACCATTATAACAAGGTGGATTATGAAAAGTAGGACAATGCAAAAGCAAATACTCTCTTGGGTCATAAACCCCCTTAATAATTACAGGCTCCCCCGTAAATTTTATTTGTCCGTTTCTATCAATCTCTTTTTTTGGATGTTTCGTTCCTTTTAATATGGCCGTTAATATCATTGGAACCGATTTTTGCATTACGATAACTCCAACTATAGACGGATTGAGATCCCTTTTCGATAGAGTACCTGGAGTAAGTCCAGCTGATAGTTGTTTCGAACCGGGAAGCCTTGGTTGTGGCCATAAACATTTCACCCACGCACGAAGTTTGTTTTGTTTGTCAATTTTTGTCGCTTCATATTCTTCTTTTGATATCTTTGGTAAGTTTAATGGTATAGTTATTGAAATTTCCGAAATTTCCTCTTTATGTGATGAATTATTCTCTTTAATGGTACTTGAATCATTTGAAATGACTGATAATGCCGTTGATTCTATCTCCATTGATTTCTTGGATGGTTTTCCGGGTGATTCCACAATTTCATCCTTAAAATTTACAATCTTTTGTTTACCTTTATTAATAACGGGTGTTGGTTCCATAGACTTGTAATAATTATTTATATTTTGCATAGAATCATGTCGTTCTTTGAAATTTATTAAATCTTTCAAAGTAACATGCATTACGGAAGGGTATAG